TGGAATAGGCAAGGGTCTGAGAAGACCTAGGGGCGCGCGTGTAGTAGATTTATTCCTCTGGCACACTTTACAACTGCGGACATACTCTATGCAGTCGTTCTTCATCCCTGGCCATGTGTACAGCTAATGTCTTTTGCCAACCGAAGTGGCCCTCAGTAGCGTGACATTCCCCTAGAATCAGACTACGAATACCTTCGCTGTTGGGAACGCACAGGCGGTCAAACACATTAGTCTTCTCAAACAGCAACCCGTCTGTAGTGCGGTAATCTGGTTCGGTTTCTGGGGTCTCTCTAACTCTCTTTAGGAGGTCGCTATAGATAGGGTCCTGCGTATACCCTTGTTTCACTTTCTCCTGCAGGTCTCTCCCTATATCCAGATAATGTACTACGGCTCCAAAGTAGTCTGATCTCCTACTTAGAGCATCCGCCACTACATTGTCCTGCGTATACGCTTGTTTCACTTTCTCCTGCAGGTCTCTCCCTATATCCAGATAATGTACTACGGCTCCAAAGTAGTCTGATCTCCTACTTAGAGCATCCGGCACTACATTGTACTTGCCCTTCACTGGCTTGAGCTCAAAGTCGAATTGGTCTATCTCTGCGGCCCACCTGGTCAACTTAGGTGTCATCTTGGCATGGGTCTTCAACCATCTAAGTGTTTCATGGTCCAAGTAGATTTGAAGTGCCTCTCAAGTAGGTAGTGCTTCCAATGGTCTAAAGCCTGCCTGAGGGAGTAGAGTTCTCTTTCGTACGTGGAGGTAGCGACTTTCTCACAAGGCATCCTCGCGGACATGAACTCTACGGGTCTATAGCCATTGCCGTCATCTTGTTGCAACACGGCGCCTATCCCATACTGACTCGCGCCCGTGGTGACGACAAATGGCAAGGACGGGTCTGCAACCTTGAGGACAGGATACTCTATTAACGCGCGCTTTAACTTTTTTAGCGCAGACGTACAATCTTTATCCCATTGCCAGATTGTCTCTTTCTTCAACAACCTGCGCAAGGGAGCGGCGATAGTGGAGAAGTTCCTCACGAACTTCCTGTAGTAGTTAGCTAAGCCTAGGAACGACCGCAACTCTGTCAATGTGCGGGGCGTCGGCCAATCTCTGATCGCCACGATCTTGCTGTCCTCTGACATAATGCCATCTCCGTCCAACACGTGGCCCAAGTATAAGACTTGCGTCTTGGCCCACTCGCACTTCTTCGCGTTGATCTTGAAGTTAGCCTCTCTAAGCTTCTCCAAGACCTGCCTCAGATGACCCTGGTGCTCCTAGAGGGTCTTACTAAAGACTAGGATATCATCTAAGTAGACTACTACAAATTTATCTAACCATGGTCTAAACAAGTCATTCATACAACGCTGAAAAGTAGCTGGCGCGTTGGTCAATCCAAAGGGCATCACTATAAACTCATAATGCCCATATCTAGTCCGGAATGCAGTCTTGTACTGATCATCAGGATGGACTTGTATCTGATGGTATCCGGACTTTAAGTCTATCTTAGAGAAATACTTACAACCCTGTACCCGATCTAAAAGATCGTCTATCCTGGGCAGCAACTCAACGTTCTTTACTGTGATCGCGTTCAAACCCCTATAGTCTATACACATACGAAGTTCTCCTTCCTTCTTGGGGACAAACAAAACGGGTGCTCCGAAAGGAGATGAACTGGGCCTGATCCAACCTTTCTCAAGGAGTTCGTCTAACTGTTTGCGAAGCTCCTCTAACTCTCTAGGGGACATCCTATAGACTGCACCCTTAGGAGTTCTACTGCCAAGCTCTATCTCTATCCTATGATGGATGGATCGCGGCACTACTCCTGTCGGCGACTCGGTCAAATCCTGGAACTCTTCCAGCAGCTTGGCAATTGTTGGATCTGTGGAACTATCCCTTTCCTGGCCCTTAGCGACAGGTCTAACATAAACTACAAAGACCTGATCTTCTAACTGCTCCTTTCTGACTAATCGCGCGAACGCGGGAGCACTGAGACAGCAATGTGCCAAGGTGTTGTCTACMCCCGACACGTGGAACAAGCGGGCAGTCTTAACTTCGCCCGCCGGACTAGGGAGCCTACACTCATGCTCTCTCAAATGAAGTGTGGCCCCTGCTGCCTCTCCCCAATCCATTCCCAACACYATATCAAAAGGAAGGTCATCTTGTACGAGGAGAGTCAGGGAATGGAGAACTTTCTCCACCTTCCTATCCTTCTCTAGGCGAAAGTACGCCTGGACTCCCTCTACATAGTCCTCAACGCGCATCGTGCGGTTGTCTGCGAGGACACTGACTATGGGGTCTACTAATTTCTGGACTTTTAGTCCTAGCCTCAACTTCTTCAGCGCCCTACGGCTAGTATAACTACGGGTAGCCCCTGAGTCTATGAGGGCCCCTACTCTACTCCTAAACACCTCTACATCTACTAAGATCAGTTGTCCCTTACTCTCCTTTTTCATTTTGGCCTAGGCTGGCATCCTCTCCTTTAACTCTTCTGCCACACCTGTGAGGGACGTGCCTAAAGAGGCGCTAACACAAGCAGTCTCTGGATAGCTATCTAGGCACGGGCCTGCAACCTCTGCCATTAGGCTCATGTGGGTTGGGAGTGTCCTGTTCGCGCGCGCTCACTTCTCCACATGGCCTGGAAGTAGGGGCAGTTGCGACCCCTACTGGCGGTTGCCTTTTGCCTGTTGAGCAGCCCAACGAGCCTGTCTATACTTTGGACAAAATTTAATTACGTGCGCCGGGTCACCACATAATACGCACTGACCCAGGTTCACGCGTTCCTGCCATAAGCGCTGGTCCAAGCCCAGATCTTCCCAGGGCCTGCCCTGCGGCAAGCCTGGGTGCCATCCTCCTTGAGGTGCCCTTCCACCTCCTCGTTGTGGGGACCGGTTACCCTGGCGATTTAACGGGGGACCTTGACCCCTACCTCCCGCTTGGCGGTTTCCCTGTCCGCCAACCCCCTGTGCGCCCGTCCTCGGCCTCCCATGGCCTGGCCCCTTTGGCCCTGGCCTCCTCCTCTACCTTGCGGCCTCCCTCCGGCCGCGACAGCTGTGTAAGACCTCCCCTGCCCTACACAACTGTGTTCCTCCCCTAGGCCCCACTCAATTTGATCATATGGGACCTCTTCTGTACCACCCTCCTCTAATGTCAGGATCAAGTGATCCTTGCCCTTGACTTGGCCCGAAATGGTACGATTCTTCCACTTCTTCCCCTTCTCTAAGTCCTTATGCCAGAAAGTGGTAACTGACATAGACTTTGACTCATACAGGACGACTTCGCTACTCAACTGATCGTATGTGATGCCGGCCTGCTGAGACTTGTCAAAGAAATGCCCACGTAGGGCTTCTGGAATGGCACGATAAAACAACTGAACCAGCTGGGGCTCAGTGACCCCATGGTCCGGAACGGCTACCAAGTCGTCCATGGTACCCTTGAGTGCCTTGGCACTCCTCCACTGCCGTGAGTGGATCGTTTGAAGCTTGTCAGAGGCTCTTATGCCTCTCGTTGGGTCAGCGAAACGCTCCTTGAGGAGCCTGAGGAATTGGGAAAGAGGGGTGACTTTAGAATATGCAACCAGGTT